CTATGCATGAGGCTAGAGTCCTTCAGACTCCCTGTACAGACCCTATTCTATGCTGCTCACTCATGTCCCCTCACTGGGGCTACTACACCAGCCCCTCACCAGGACTATTAGGGCTTACACCTCTTGGGCCTCAGGCCTCTGATGACAATGCCTGGACCCCTCACCTGACCCCTCCATGGGGTAACCCACCATGTCATGGGGCCTGAGGCTATACTGCACCCCATACTCACCTTTCAGTAGGGAGGCATTGGTATGGCATTTCTTGGGGCCTACCCCACCATCCAACCCCCAGCAGGGCATCCTTTTAAGTCATTCCTGAGGACCAGGAACCTCTTTCATCCCCATAGTTCCTACCCTTAACCTCCAGGTATTCTGGGAGCAGCAGCTTTATCTGGACAATGTTACTCTTACAGCAACTGCCCATTAAACTCTGAGAGCCTGTGTTTATATTGAGGCTGCCCAGCCCCATCCTCCAATCCAGGAGCCCTCCTGTGGTCATGTGAGTGTCTTGTTAGGCTGCATTGCACCTGCTGGCTGCTCCACAGCCTGCTCCAATCTCTTAAAGTGGCAGGCACCAAAAGTGCTCTGCCACAAGCAGCTGTGCAGAAAAGGACCTGCAAGTTACAGTGAGCATTAAGCTGAATATGAGCCAACAGTGTGCTCTTGTTGTCAATAAGGCTAATGGTATACTGGACTGTATTAATAGGAGCAGTCCCAACAGATCAAGGGAAGTGATTCTTCCCCTCTGTTCAGCACTGGTGAGGCCACATCTGGAGTTCTGTGTCCAGTTTTGGGGCCCCCACTACAGAAAGGATGTAGACAAATTGGAGAGTAGTGGAGGGCAGCAGAAATGGTTAGGGGGCTGGGGCACATGGCTTCTGAGGAGAGACTGAGGAAACTGGGCTTATTTAGTCTGCAGAAGAAAAAATTTAGGGGGGATTTAATAGTAACCTTCAGCTACCTGAAGGTGGTTCCAAAGAGGATGGAGATAGACTGTTTTCAGTGGTAACAGATAACAGAACAAGGAGCAGTGGTCTCAAATTGCAGCAAGGGAAGTTTAAGTTAGATATTGGGAAGAACTTTCTCACTAGGAGGGTAGTAAAGCACTAAAACGGGTTGCTCAGAGAGGTGGTGGAATCTCCATCCTTGGAGGTTTTTAAGATCTACCTGAACAAAGCTTTGGGTGGGATGATTCAGTTGGGGACAGTCCTGCTTTGAGCACAGGGTTGGATTATACCTCCTAAGGGTCCCTTCCAACCCTCATTTTCTATGATTCGGTGCGTCTTCCTAACCTGAGTTGGGAACAGCTATTTTGTGCCCCTTTTTGTCCAATCTAATGCTATTGTAGATATTGTCCAAGTAACTCTCAAAGGCTCTGTCTACACCAGGAGGGATTCCTTGGTATTCCAGGAATACCAGCTTCAGCTCCCTCTGTGCAAAAATGAAGTGTATTTCCTACCTATGAGGACTTTTTTACCATCTTGTACCATCTATACATTTCCCAGAGCCTGACGAAGGGACTTTGATCCCGAAAGCTTGCAGAAAAGGACAGTTTTCTTGTGATTTCCCAGTTGGTCTAATAAAAGGTATTATTTTGGAACCAAGAGTTCTAGTTTTTTTGTATGTTGGTATTCCAGCAAACTTGGAGCAGCAGCTTACATGAGCAAAAGAGTGAGAATCATAGCATCATAGAAAAGTAGAAGAGACTTTTAAGAGGTCATCTAGTCCGACTCCCCACCAGAGGCAGGAGCCACCTGATACTGGCTCCCCAAATGACATAAACTAAACCAGCAAAAGGATTTCTTTGGTGTTGTAACTGTGCCCAAATCAGAACTTTCTCCCATAGATCTAGGGCAGTTTGAAATGGGATATTTTTCATACTACTGGCTGATGCGGACAAAAAATTTAAGCACAGAGCAGGCCTCGTCCTTTTTGAATCCTGCTAAACTCTTGGCTACATTGATGTGTTGTAGCATGAAGTGCTGCAGGTTAATGATGCATTGGCTAAAAAACACACTTTAAACCAGGGGCGGCAGTTATTTTGGGCAGAGGGCCACTTACTGAGTTTTGGCAAGTCATCGAGGGCCGCATGACAGGCAGCCAGGGGCAGATAACTATTCATTTTCTAAATTTTTTAGGGGCTCTGCAGGCCGGATAGAATAGCCTTGCGGGCCGCATCTGGTCCGCAGGCCGCATTTTGCCCACCCCTGCTTTAAACCATAAGGGGTATAGATTGTAGTCATGTTGGCCTAAGGACAATAGGCAGACAAAGTTCTTTGGGTAAATCTGATATCTTTTATTAGACCAACTCAAATAGTTGGAAAACATTCTTGTTTGCAAGCTTTCGGGCACACTTGTGGAGTACTCAACTCCCAAACACACACACACACACTCTCTCTCTTCTGGAGCATTCGACTCCTAAACACACACATGCATGCATTCAACTCCTGAGAGTGCAAATGCACAATCTTCTGGAGCACTCAACTCCCAAGTGCACACACACATGCATTCATCTGGAGCATTCAACTCCTGAACACACACACATGCATGCACACTTCTGGAGCCCTCAACCCCCGAACACACACACCTATGCACACACACACACACTCTTCTGGAGCACTCAAATGCCATGCTAGAAGTCTGAGCTGGTTATGCATGGCTGTGCTTTAATTGACAAACGTTTGGATGCATCCTGCTTCAGTGAGGACCCACCAGCTAGGCTTAGGCAGCTGTTCTGTGTCTTTCCTTTACAACAAGCCCCTGGGGCTAGTCCAGAGTAATTCCACTGCATGGAACTTTCTTGGAATGGGGTAGTCCTAGGTGAAGGGTTTTCTGAAAGCCTGCAGACCATAGCTCAGAAACTGCTATAGAATAGCAGTGGAGAGTGAGCAACGTCTTGGCCGCTGTCCCTTCTTTCTGGGCAGCCAGACCCTGCAACCTGGGATGCAGGCCCACCATCCATGTGAACTTGAGTCCCCATTCCTACACAATAGAAAGCTTCAGTATGGTTCAGCGGGGCATTCTGGGCATGCTGTATTCCACTGGATACACTAACCGCTACCACCTAACGTGCCATCTGTTTTGGATAGATCCAGGACCATCAATGGTAGGCAACCCTCAGCATGGGTGCCAGAGTGTGGCGCACATAGTCATTTTGCTTAGCACGCACACCTCAGGACAGACAGCAGGGAAGAGGCTGGGACTGCAGTGCCACAAGACTTGGGCCCCTTGCGGCTCCCCTGCCATCTGTCCCTGGCTCACCAGCATCTTACAAATCAAGGTTGTGGGTGTTTTTGGCATGGTACCCAAAAACATTGCCAACCCCTGCTTCAAACCATGCAAATGTGGGTAAAGCAGGGGGCAAGCAGGCAGGACTCCTGGGGTTTTTTCCTGGCCTGGACAGGGACTGAGCAGGTTTCTCCAGTAGGTCTGTCTCTTGAAAATCAGGGCTAGTACCTCCCAAAGGGGACGTGGGGCTTATTAAATGGTTGTAAAGGGCTTTGAGATCCTAGGGGGTGGGGAAGGGGTGGACTTTGAGGAGGAGTGTGGAGTCTAGAGTCAGTCTGTCTGTTCTGAACCTTGCTCCTCAAAGAAATGTTCTCTTGCCCCCAGCCTTTGACACTGAAATTCAGAGATTATTAATGAATTGGGGGTCCACTTGGAAATCAGCTAATCATTTGCCTCTTTCTCCCAGTCTCCTGGTGCTCTGCATTTGTCAATGGGTTGTTTGCTGGGAAACTGGTTCAGGATGCTATCCTGAGGTAGCAGGGTTTGCGTGATTGGGCAGTTGATTAGTTCAATATAAATTTGCTCTGCTAGTATCTATGGCTGTGCAGAGCCAAATCCTAGAAGTGCTGCACCCTGTGGGTGACAGTGCAACGGAAAGATGGTTATGAAATCGGTCTGTGTGACACCGAGGGAGGAAACTGCATTTTCCTGCATCTGTGGTATTGCTGTGTTTCAGCACTTACACAGTTAAAAATAGTCTCTTCCCATGCCAACACCCCAGCACTGGTGCATTAACAGCAGACTAATGAAGCAGGTCCATGTTATGATCCAAAGTCTGCAGCACTTGTCAGTACAGTTACTGTATATTGGCTAGTGGAGCAAAATGTGCAGAGTCAGGATCTGAGACTAGCACAAGAGGTTTTTACTGCAGTAGTAGCAAAGAGCTTTTATTTCCTCCTGCCTACGCTTTGTTGAGGGGATTTCAGCCTGGCCTGAGACTAGACTAATCGGCTTGCTTTTTTTTGTGGAGCAAAAGGGAATGGGGTGAAAACAAAATACCTGCTGTCTCTACACCCAGCCTTCTGGGCTGCTCATCATCACGGTGCACCAGCACTTTGCACTGTCCGTCTCTTGCATTCCATGAAGCCTCCATCGTTGCCACTTAGGTTGGGGGGTTTCTTTCAGCTGATTCCCTCCCGTACCCATAATTGCACATCTTCATTCCCAGATAAATCACTCCAAGCGTCCAAGTGAATAGGACTTGTATGCCTTCAGATCACAAAAGCCAGGTAGGTGCACTGCTGGGAGGCAGTTTGTCCCCCTTGAAAGGTCTTAACGTGTGTGTGTGTGTGTGTGTGTGTGTGTGTGTGTGTGTGTGGGTGTGTGTGTGTGTGTGCTGTACATTCGGATTTGTTCCTTTATAGCAGATGCAGTGCAGCAGGGAGTCTGGCTCAGGGAGTTAAAAAAAAGAAAAGAAAAGTAGCATGCATTTCCAAACCTTCATATCAAGAAACTGAGTGTGCTCTGCTTCAGAGTGGGTAGTGCTGCTTCTGTGCTCAGATATTTGTCACTTTGAAATGTTACTGTGGGGGTGGGAAAGGAAAGGAAACTTTGCATCTTAGTTAAACTATCACATTGGGCTTTAGAATTTGGCAATGGTTCCTGGAGCGTCTTACTGGTGAGTGCCTGTACTTTAACTTGCACAATAAAATACCAAGCCATATATGCTGTCTTATGAGTAAAACACCTACATTTGGGATGTGCAGTTCTGCAGTAGTTTTTTCAGACTATTTGGATTGTGAACATATACAGCTCCTCAGAATCTTAGAAAAACAAGATCCCAGTGTAAGAGAGGATTGTTAAAGTGACTAGCAATTGGCAAGAAGGGTATCTGATTCTGTAAGAAAGAACTGCTTACGCAGCAAGATGGAAACAGGGAGACACTCCTCTTTGGATCTGAGGGTTTTCCTACAAGGTGACTTTGGAGTTCCTACAAGACTTTGGAGTGCTTAAATAGAGTTGTTGGTTGCATGGCAGTAGACGCATGGCATGAACAGTGCCTGAGAAGGAAAAGTAGTCGCAGTGGGGGCTATGTCCAGCCTCACAAACTTGCACGCAGGCTGCGGTAGGACAGCGTTTGTGATTGTCATACCTGTGAGTACGTGCATGTTTCCCTTCCTTTATCCTGTGAGTTAAGGTGTTTGCTGTCAAACCCCATATTGGAAAATAGATACAGAAAATACAGGATGTGGGAGATATGTTGTGTAACGCTGAGGAAGCCTCCTTTAAAGGAACCAGTGTGATGCTTTGCATTACAGGGCCTGGACTGTACTGGGACATGGCAAGTTTCAGAGAGAAAGTGGAGTTTTTCCCAAGTCAGGGTTCCCAGGGCTCCTGCTTGGGAGTTAACTCCGCCAGGCAAGAGGACTGTTCCGCACAGGCTGCATACTCGCTTGACATGCTTAGTTTTTGGCCCAGGTTTTTACAGAGCTTCCTTGTACTAGAACCTCCATTCCATGCTGTCATGGGGAAGGAGGAAACATCATGCTCCATACAGATGAGGAAGGAGCTAGAACAGGGCTTCCCAGTGGGCAGAAGCCCAAGCAGTTAATTGGTGGTAACAGTTGGAAAGGGGCTTCCCTTGTCCTCTCATCTCTCACAGCCCGCTGTTCATTGGTTTCTGCCCATTATGTTTTGCATGCAACTGTTCCCTCATTTTTGCATGGCTATTTACAGGCTTCTGTCAAAGCTATGGTGTGCATTAAGGTGTTTTTTCTAATGTGCATTAAATTTAGTACCTCCAATATGATAGACTAAAGAAACGCACATTAGGTTACCTTAATGCGCAGTAACGAATGTGCACAGTTTTTAAGTGACAATTAATAAACAGTAGCCTATGTACTGTGCATTAGCATAATTACACTTTTTTTACATGATGCTTTCATGCGCAGTAAAATAAGCTACTGTGCAGTAAAACACGAATAGACGTACCCAATGAGATCTGTAAGCTTTACTTGTACTTTTTCTTCCTACCCCATTCTTCTCCAGCCCTCACTAATGCAGCATCAAAGGCATCCAACTGGGAGGGAGAGCATCCTGCCCTCCTGGGACAGGAGTGCCCACTGTGGGTTAAGGGTGGTAAGGTAACAATGCTATGATCTTGGGCACCTGCTCCAGGATTTGTGCTCAGTGCTGAACTTGCTGTGTGGTGGCTGTCTGATCTGCCTCCTCCCCATTTGTGCCCTGGGGGTTGGAACTCAGTTGTAGTAGACAAACAACAGTGGTTGTGTGCATGGAAGCATCAGCTGGTGCACTCCTTCCTCTGTGGTGACAGCCTGGAAGGGGTTGTGGAGGGGCTTGGCAGGGTGTTGTGCTGCATTCTGTTTCCTATCACCCTCTTCCCCATGCCTCAAGTCTTTGGGTTCTGGGAGACCCCCACAAATGGAGCACTGCCCATCGCTATCTGCAGCCTGGTGCTCACTCTCTGTCTGTATTTAGCCATGGGTAAGGGGTATGATAAGAGTGGCTTGCAGGTCATGGGATTTGGTGCTCTGGAAGTTAAACTCTGATGGGTGGGTCATGTGGAGCGACACAAAGGAGTGTACATTTGTGGCCTTTCCTGAGGCCCAAGACCTTGCACACAGGAACATACACATCACAGTGCCTTTCCCCTGCCTCCCCCCCAGAGGCGTGATGCCTTGGTTTCCGTCCAAGTAGAAGCATCCATTAGCTAACTACTCTAGGAGAATCACAGAGCAAAGGTCAGATGGATCCAACAGGAGAGCATCTGTAAAGGTGTTCCCCCTGTTGCTGTTGTGGCTCCAGCTGTTGAGTCTGGTAGGTAACTCTCACAGGGAATGCAAGGTTCACCTGCAGCTGTAGGCATGGGCTGGGGAGAGCTCAATAGGGGCATGTTGGCCACTTCCTGCAAAGTGTGGTAGAGTCTCCAACTCCATCCAAATGGGGCAGGCCCCCAACATGGCACTTCTGAGCAAAGCAGCTTCCAATGCTGCACTGCAGCATTCACTCCTGGAGCATGCCCAAGCCTCTGAGTCCACTCCAAAGTTATTCTCCTGGTGGCAGACACCCTGTAGGCAGAATCCCTCTGGGGTGGCTCATGGAGGCAGGGCGTCCTTCAGCAGGCAGCTGCCAAGCCAGGTGAGAGGTAAACCCTTTAAACTCCTCCCTCAGCATCCACTCACCTTGGTACAGCAGAATTGCCTGTCAGCTCAGGAGACCCATGCTAATAAACAGGCCACCATGTTCTGCACAAGCTTTTGTTGCCAAATAGGCTGAAAGTATTATTGTGTGTAGAGCGCATTGCAGAAGGAGACGCAACAAACCCGCTGACCACTGCAGCCAGTAATGCACATGACTAAGCGCTCCAAAACTCTACCCCAAGCTTGGCTCCAGGTCCAAGGTGGACAAGGAGACTCAGTCATTCAGAGCAGCTGCTGGTGCCCCAAGACACTGCACCAGCTGATGTCCCCCAGAAGATCCAATGAAACTTAGAAGAACCTTCAGATGCAGAGCCCTGTGCCAGAAGGTCTGATACATGGTGTGTGCTTGCACTTGTGTTTGGGATGTGGCAGGATCTGCCCATTTGCCTGGGCCAGTGTCCTTTTGGATCAGTCAGTACTGATTGCAAGCTTCTGCAAATGTTGCCTCGCTGACTCCCAAGATTACCTGGGAGCAAAGCCATGGTAAAGCTGTGCTTCCATTAGAGAAATCCTAGCTGTGAGCAAGAAGGTGTTAGTGCAGGGGTTTCCCACCCTGATGAGGTTTGGGGCTTTCACTGAAAATAACTCTTGACCATTTATATGAAGGCCACTTCGGGATTTTTTTAATCAATGCATCCTTGCAATCAGTGTTGCTACTGCCTATAGAATGGTTGCAATTGCACTGTTTTTTTCTGTGCAAATCCGTTTAAACACTGAAAATGCTCCAGCATGATTAATGTAATCTCTGGGAAGCAGCAAGGAAGAGAGATGATTTACAGAACAACAACAACAAAAAGGTACAGATACACTGCCCTCAATCATGTCTGCATGTTAATCCGTATGGGAGCCATGTGTGTTGTCAGGGGAGATTTCACAGTATCTGGAGCATAGCATTAGCCTGTTAAAAATCTTTCC